TCGACAGCAGCTTTTCAGAAGGAATTTTACGCGACAGGAATGCGGCCAAGATTTATTTCATCGGTTTCTCATATTCAAAGAGTTGCTTGATAATTGACATGGGAACTTGTGGCGGAGCGGTGTTTCTTTGCTGTGTCGCGTCGTTCGCGGAAGAAATTGAGAAATGCAAATCTAGAGGTTGATTTATGTATGTACTTTGTAGGACATCGATGCCCACGGCGACCGGCGAGGACGACGACGAGGAAATTGTACCTTTCGTTTGTGTTGAGTTTCTTCAGATTTTGTATGGGCGATTAGGAGATTGTGAGAGGAAAAGTAGAAGAATTTCTTCGAATTTTATATAGATGATTACGAGAGGCAACATCGATAAATTTCTTGAAATTCTAAATAGTTGATTTTGAGGGGAAAAATAGAAAACGTGAGCTTGTCACGTCTGCTCGCGTCTGCTGTAAAAGTAAAAATCTGGCGAATCGAAAACTTCAACCCGAAATCTCCATTTTTCGACACCTTTTGCGTTTTTGATTTTTTGCACTTAGGATTTGCAACGAAAAAATCTGAAAAAAATCACAGCCACAAACAACCATGTCTACAATATTCTAGAATTTTCTTGGAATTTTTGCATAAATAGGGAAAATGTGGTAAAAACCGATAATTCGGATTTACCCTGTAACTACTCTCCGGGTTGAGATAGGGGGCTGGAACTTGGTGTACGATGTTTTCTTCTGGTAAGCTATCGAATGGTGCATTGCCAGGTAAAATCGGTTCAGGGGCACTTTTCACCATTTTATCCTGCGATACCCTTTGTGTTAAAACTCAATCCAGAGACTCAATCTTAACAAAATGTAATATTGACTTAAATAAATTAACCCTTATCTCGGCAATTCTCCAAGTGATTTACAAGAAACGGTTGTTGCTTCGCTCTCGAGGCATTAAACTGTTTACGATACCGTTTCGAGCCGCGTTAAGGCGATTCACAACGAAAAAACTATGAATTCGTAGCGACCGTAAAAGGTGAAACAAGTAGAAAACAAAGCAGACCGAAAAAGGTGCAACGTTCAGCGAAGTCGAAAGAGAGTTTCAAGAGTGGAAGGAAACAAAGTGAAATGTGAATACTAAATAAACGCAGCTTTAAATAAGAAATTTGATTAAAATTGAAGGGAAACTCTGCAAGTATATTTGGCAAAATAATTTCATTTAAGACGTATCTCTGATAAATCTACAACTTAATTCAATCTTCTCGTTGGCCGTACTCCGAAACTTCTACCAGTTTATTTACCGCAAAGAGAAAAAGACTGTTTAATAAAAAGCGACCGAGCGAAGGATCTGATTATTGTGAATCTACAGCGGATATTTCTTGTTCTTCCGTTCAACGATTACGATCGAGTATTTCGACTTATTTGTTAGATATCGACAGGAAAAGTGTCGTTATTGACCATCGAGGCAGAAAAATAGATAACAGGGAAGCAATACGCTTTCAAAACTTTCTTTACTGCTACAAATGAAAAGATAAGATAATTACTTGCAACGAAATTGCACAGGGTTCGGTAGAAAGATATGAAATTTTTCGACGATTTGGCGTTGTGCTTAAAAGCAAAACGATTCAAGGAGCTAATCAACGATTCCAGAATAAAATTAATATTCTCGGAGAAGTATTTAATAATTCTAATTTTAAGAATTTAAAGATAAGAAAATTAATATTCTTGGAAAAATGTTTAACAGTCCTAAAACATTAAGAATTCTAATTTGAAAGAAATAATAATTTAAGAACAATCGAATCGAATTTCTTTCCAAAAATTACAAGTGCTACTTTGTATTTTTCGCTATTTATTCCACTATTGAGTATATTATTCTGAAATACAATAAATTTACACTGCTTCAGACTTGATTGCCCACATTTTTTTACTCACGACACGCTTTAAAATTTAAACCACCAGAGTACACAAGAAACTCGGTTATGAACTGAATTTGCAGGCACACATCAACGCTACAGAAACGTAAAAACGTTTCATTAAGTGCAGATCAAGTATTCCATTTGCCAACCTAGTGACTTTACAAGTCTCACGTTGACAACTTTTTTAATCGACGCTGGAAAATTGCACGAAAATCTCCATTATGTAAACCAACCTCCTCTACAACCAACTCGTAAAAAATACAAAAATCCCCCCAGAAAACGTCACATTTATCACCTAATAAAATTTTCATTGCAAACCATCATACTTCGAAACAAAGTTAGAGAGAAATTGGAACGGCAAGGTTTCTTAAATATCAATTAGAGCAGCTTCTAATCTAGAACACTTCGGAACACTCGACTCTTAAGCCTTCAATGGATAGTTAAAACGCTGGCAACCATAAACGACGGCAATTATTCGAAATAACGATGGTCGTTATCTTCACGCGACTAGATACTGTCTATTTACCTAAAAGAAAAAGCTGCAACAACGTTTTTCTTTCCAGAGTAGACTCGCTTTTTCGCAAGAACCGATCGATCCTCGTCGCAATGTGAACAACAACGATCCTTTTCAAGGTACGACAAATTCTTCCACCGAACCGAAAATTACGGCAAAGAGAATGTTACCATTGGCCGCGTTTGATAATCGCGATAAACTACACAGAGCATCGAAATTTATCGACGAAGAACGCAGCGGTGTAGGGCGGTTAGGGCTAATCGAGTACCGTTTAATATCGCAGGAAATGTGAGGCATTTGATATTACGGGCATCGCGCAGACACGGCTCGTTTATTCTGTATCAAATTACCCTTGCACGCTGCGCCACGAAAATGAAACATGAAATTCGATGTGTAACTGCACCAAGTACAAAGCATCTGTACTGCGACGCTCTCTGCGTCTTCCAGCAGGGCACGTATCAAGGTGCGGAACGTTCACGTTCTTACAGATAAATTTGCGCAACAATATTAATACAATTTCGGGTACGTTTGCGCCGACAAATGTAAATGCCATCGTACGCGAGAGTTCCTCCAGGAGGAAATGTTGGGACGATGTTGCTTAGAGTGAATAACGGAAAATCAATTTCTACGTTTTTGACGGTTCCTAGCCTGTTTCTTTGTACGTACAGAGCAGAGCTATGTTGGAGTGCTTTTCCAACCTCTTCGAATGAAATCTCGACTACGTGCCGGATTTTCACAAGCGACGACACGCATCGGCTGAGACCGAACAGTGATTAATTGTTAATCGTGAAATTAGAGGAAGTGATTTTTAATCGGGATGTTTTTTAAATTGAACGTGTCAAAAACGAAGCTCAAGTCTCACTCTTTGTAAGTAAGCATTGCCTCAGATATGAGCCACTCAGAAGCTAAAGTGAGTAACTCCACTTTTTCATATACTTTCAATTTTAGTATCGAAGCACAGGCTTGGTGCAGAATTTTTCATAACTAACACAAACTTCATAGATTTTATTTTATGGAGTTAGTCACTTTGGCTTCTGAGTGGCTCAATTAAGGAGTTTAAAAAAAAATTAATGTAAATTATTGTCCACTTGAGGATAGTTATTGACAAGAACAATTACTACAAAACTTTGTCCTCCTCTATTTTTCTCACTTTACCACTCGCGAGAAAGACACGTTGGAAATTAATAAGCGAAATTAATAACGCTCTGTAGGTTTCTTAAAATACCAACACTCCTCTCCAAATTGTCACATGCGTAACAGACGCCGCTTGGGTTGTTCGGCCGTACCAACGAGCCGAACAATAACATCGGTATTTTCAATAGACAGCACCTTCTAAAAAGCGAGGTCTTAGCCGGCATGGGCAAATTACTTTATTACACCAAAAATTCGACAAGCAATATAACAAATGTAAGGACAAATTCCCCACTTTCACACCACCAGCAGACACACCCCAAACACTTCCACCACCTACGACACTTTTCACACCACCAATCACAACACACACGTAGTTTATAAAATAGCGAACACCACACGACACGACACACAATTTTCCTATCAGTAAGCCTAGACATTTCGCGCTCTGCACAACGTTTATTCACAAATATACATCTATCATATATACAAATAATAATCTACCTTTCGAGCACTACCCGAGTCCCCTATCCCGAGTAGATTCCTTAAATGGTCCGACTCAAAAAGAGGGACAATTATCGGTTTCGCAACAAACATATCGCGATTCGTAACAAAATACTGAAAACAAATCAAACCCAACCGTCATAAAAAAATGATCGAGATCCCAAGGAAAACACGATTCGCTCTGAAATCTTGCTAAATGAAATGTAATTTAAATCGTACAACACTTCCTGTACGAACATAATACGCGTCTCGATACTTACAAACCAAATTGTACGTAAACAAAAACGCATACGTACAGGTAAAGAACAATGAAAATGTCTGCGTCACGATCGAGGATATTATTCGGTAAATTTCGCCAAGGGTAGGATAATGGATCCGCATAAATAAACGTGTGCACGCAACGTAGAGAGATGGGAACGTATTCGAAATAGGGGCGAGACAGAGAGGGTAACATCCTCCTTCCTACGTTGAAAAATATTCGAAATGTCCGTGGCTCGCGCGTATCGAGCTATCAAATAATAAATAACGTTTCGCGTTAAGTACTAAAATAATTTAACGGCCGCATTAAATATGAAATATTATACGCGTGCACTTGAGCGTTATTCCGTTTCGAAACAACGCGCCACCCCTTGTCGATCCAGCCGCATATTATATTTCCCGCGTGTCTATCCTTCGTATTGCTTCAATTACAAAAAAGAACTTCGCAATAAAAAACGAAAAATATTTCGCCCTCGTTTTCGAATGTTTTAATTAATTAAACCCAACCCCCTACCTCCTTTCAATTCGACAGCAAGATCCACGTTCATTAAACGAAACTTATCTCGCCCCTTCTTACCCCCTCTCTTCGTTCGACCATTCTTTACCAACTGTCGGTAAATGAAAACGTCATGTCGGTGAATTGTGCAGCAAGCAAGATATGCAAATCTGTGGAGTTTTTCACGTGCGTCGTATCTGTTTCAGGTGGTGCTTTCCCACCCGAATTCGCTGGTCCTATCACGAATCTAACGGTGCCGCTCGGAAGGGACGCAACTTTTACGTGTCTGGTCAAACATTTGGGGGGTTACAGGGTAAGTTTTCCCCTATGAAAATTCATCAACCGCTGACCGACCGCTGAAATTCTTGCGACGAAACTGTGTACACGTGTACTTTTAGACAGCCTCTTTTCACCACTCGTTTCATATCATTTCTCTTATTTTTTCTTTAGAATTGTGCTAGGAGAAGATTAAAGATTTCTAGGGGAAAGGATTCACCGTGAATCGTAACCTTGGAATTGCTATCTCGAGAAAGTTTCCTTTGCTTCAAAGTGAGGTACTTCTGTAGTCCCTTTTACGGTTACCGTATAGAATGAATCGTTTTTCCTTTTTTTCTTCTTTTTTAGCCAGGGCATCACGCAACTCGGATTTTTCTTACCGCCATGTACACTCTTTGATTTCAAGAAGTTTCAGCTACTTTTCGGAGTTTCCTCGTGTGTCCGCTGATTCGAGGTTTTGAAAAGTGAAGTTACACTTTTGTTTCGTTGTATACGGAAGTTTATTCGTGGAATAGAGTATTATATCGTAATCACCGTCTACAATTCGTCGGTTAACATTTTTGAGAGTGAAGTTTTACCTGAAGCTTAGGTGAAATGCAGAATTAGGCATAATCAACGATTACAGAAACGTACCATGACGAATTTGTTTGTTAAAAATTGCACAGAATTCAGATTTCGTTTTTCTTTTCCCCCTACAAGAAGAATGTCGTTCCAGATTTTCTGATCAAACTTTGTCGGTATGTTCCGTGGGTATAAGTATGAAAAAGATAATACATTAACGTAGCTTTGTTACAAAGTTAACTTCGTTAAAAGGTAAACGTTTCTCGCTTATAGTTGAAGTGCAAGAATTAATGTGACATCGAGGCACCATTTCTTCTTTTCTCCCTAATAACGTCGTTACTTCCTCCCCAGCTCTCCCTAATATTTTATTATTCTCTGGCAATTGTACCAGACACCAAACAGAATATAACAACGTGAAAAACGTGTTACGACTCAGAATGGGGAAAAAAGTGGAACGAGTGTTACAAGTTGGTAGTCGTACACGGTCACGTTTTAAATTGAAGATAAAAAAGTTGTTCAAACTAAGGAATCGACAAAAGTTGGAGGAGGCATTTACTTCTTAAACAGAGACGAGAAATTTTCCCTCTGACAAATCATTTCGTTCCTCTATTTCACTCTAAATTCTGCTGCAATTAAGCAGACTAGACAAATTATTCATCCGATTTCTCACATAGCGTGTCTAATGGCAATACTATTTATCGAACGAGTGACAAATACAGTGTATGGTCGAATTAATACAGCCAGCTGCGAAGAATTCACGGTTTTGCATTTCAACGTTTAATTTTGAAAAAGCCTAGTTACACTGAATTCTTATTTTTTTTTTTTTTATGAAACACCGACACATTTGCAAATGCACATTTGGCAACACTTTAGGCAATATTATATCTGTCATACGACAAATGCGTGTTACAGTTTCGTTGTTTTATAGATCTTGAGCATTTTAATTTTTACTGCTTGTAACATATAGTAAATTACTTAACCCTTTCGCTGCGGCATATTTTAGCGTGTAACGCGCGTGGTAAACGGTAAATGTTCTGCGTTAAAAAACTTTTCGAAAATTTTAAAAATTGAAATGTAACGCTGTACAGTTTTAAAATTTGTGTCGTTAAATTACGATGGAGCAAGCAAACATTCGAAACGCCCATAAGCGTCAAGGACATAGTGTAAGAAAATTTTCAGGATTAAAATGTAACGAAAATATGCCCAAAGGAATCCAGGGGCGATAATTACGGGGAGAAGTATCGTTACCAATTACTAACTTCATTCTTACATCTTAACCGTATTTTTCATAGCTACATAAGCTAAGTTTAACTTTCCACGTGAACATTCAGCGAACAATTGCGAATTAAAAATTATTCAAAGCAAAATGAGCCTCGATATTGTAATTTCATTTCAACACAAACACAAACAGACATATTTTCATTATCACCCACTGCTAGCATTACGGTGGTTAAAATTCGTCGTAAGAGACACGCAGACAGACCATGAAAAAAATCGATCATATAGGGAATTTTAGATTTTTCTCCTCTTGTCCAAGTAAAGTACCTTTCTCGATAAAACCAATTTCTCAAACAACCTATACAGCACTAAATTCACAAGCACTTTTCTTGATTCGATATCCCTCTTGCTATATCGTGCCCATGTTTGAACACAAAAATAGAACCATTTCCCCTGTCGTATTGGATTTCATATCCGCAACCATGAAGACCATTTCATTACGCATCTCCGTCTAGCCCAACCATTGGGAAAAGTAGGGGTTTCAGCAACGTGGGAGAATAATAATTCGAAAAATCTCAAGTTTCCGCTTTAATAAGACCCCCGCGAGAAGGGAGAGAGAGAGATAGCCGGTGTAAATTTAATTATGCTTTTATCCGCGTTCCAACGCGGTTAGATTATCCTTCACACGCGTATTACACTTTTCTTACGCTTTTCTAAATCGTTTCGCGAACGCAGCTTCCACGCCGTAACAATGTTTTCGAATTAGAACGATTTCATTTCACCGGTTCGCACCGTGTGTTTAAACTTCAGCAAGTTGAAGTGTTAAGGATACTTAAGTTTAGACCAGGTTTACGATACGGACGCGACTCTGCTATTTTTCAGATTAACCCTTTCGTTACGGCAGTCCGCGCCACTGAACGGAGCACTGTGCCGCAAAGTGTGCATATTGCGCGTCGGTAAACTGGTGTTCGGACTTAGGTCTTTCAACGCTACCTTGTCATTCTCCGGATCGTACTCTTCTTTAAGTGTTACATAACGACATATTTGGAGATTTTGCAATTATTATAAATAATAATATTATTATCGCGGGGCCGGTGATCAAGGCGGTACCACGCTGACGCCGGCTACAGCCGGCGCTCGTACACACAGGTCATCGCGTGGATGCCGGCTATAGCCGGCGCTCGTACACACAGGTCATCGAGTGGATGCCGTCTACATCCGGCGCTCGTAACGAAAGGGTTAAGGTTTGAATACGCGTTTAATGTTTCGTTCGTTAGTTATTCCTTATTGCCAGGAGGGCTCCAAACCTCTCACAGAAGCTGAGAATTTGGAATTTCTCAATAGCGATTGACGTATCGTAAACCCGCGCGAGCTGAGGCACATGCGAGCGAGGGACCGTTACCCTGGCTTTTTCCCATAAGCCCAGGTGACGCGTACCTCACCCAGAACACTCCTTGCCTAAGGGTGAGCGGTTGGCGTCCGGCGTCGACCAAGGCCCTAACTTGATTGGGAGTCTTGGCCTCCCACCCAAATCTCACCCCCGTCAAGGGACCCAAATGGATGGACAAGAACATATAAAAGGACTGAACGGTGATGGACAAAACGTGACGTGACTTTGTTGTGAGAACAAACACGGTGACAAATAGAACTCTGAACTCTTGCACGAACGATTACACAAACTTTGAATTTGCTGTGTTGCAAATAAAGAATTATTTGCTAAATAATCAGGCTTCACGAACGTTGTGGGAGCCAACATGAAGAAAGAAACGCGATACAAAGAGAGAGTGTTGAAAAATTGAAAAAGAGAAAAGTTTGTCTTGCCAGATGGATGTGTTTTCGCCAAATCTGTGCCTCGCTCTCTCGTTAAGATCGCTTTGGTAGAGCTGTAAAGGGATAAATAATCTGGTTACCAGCGTCTAATGATATTATGCTAGAGTAAAGTGGTAACGAGCAACTGCTGCTAATTTTTCATTTAAAGCTTTAATGCCGAGCCATGGGAAACTCCAACGACGCGGATGAAGCGTGCATTCGCAATTTCTGTTAGATTATTTCCGTAATTGAATACGCCCGCCGGCCCTGTCCGGCGAATCTTAGACCATTGCCGCCGAACAATTAAACTAATTGTATCATATTTCTAAAATTCCATTACGAGGATTCCAAATTTACGTTTAATGCGATGAAATTGAAACTAAATGTGTAATATTGTTAATGAGGATGACCGAATGCGAGAAAGGAAGAGGGCTCGTCGGAGTTCTGCGACGAATTGCGGAGAAATACACCGTGTGAAATAATTCGAACGTCGATTAAATTGTGAAAAACAATCGACAGATTTTGTTCGCATGGAAATTAGCTTCGTTAATTTGGTACTTTTGATTCCAAGTAAATTTTCAGATTTTTCAAAATTAAACTTCGATTTTTAATTAGAAAAATAAAGATTTCATTCCACCGTATTTTATTGCATTATCGAAGTTTGAATTCGTCACGAAGTAGCAATGGTAAATTTGTCGGTGTCTAGGTATCAGAAACATCTTTGCCAACTAGGTGATAGTATAAGCTTCTTTTACATAATGAAATTATGTTGCGATTTTCGCGTAAGTATCCCAAGTTGCGAACTCGCGGTAAACTTTCAACTAGTGGAAGGAAGAAGGTCAAAGAAATTGCTCGCGTTTATTTCAATCTTCTAATTTTCCAGCTGGAAGAAAAAATCCGACACGAGAGCTTTCGTGGTTTCAATTCATTGGGCTTTCTCTCATTCGTAGACTTTGTCGACTAAAGAGTCCTCTAAAAAGCTACCACGCTTTGGTGTAAATTATAAATCAAACGAAAACTCAATTATTCCTTTAGACTTTGCAATCGTTATCAATTGCGGATAGCTCGCAAGAGCAAAGTAGTTTCATTAAGTATTATCACTTGGTATTAGGCTCTGCCAGCGTTTCTCGATAATTTCATTGTCCTAAACAGTCTTTTAAGCAACATCCTCGCGATAAATGTACCTACGACCGATAAAGTAGAATTAAAATAACTCGTACTTCGTGTTCGAAGCTTCGTTGTTTGCAGCAATTGCCTGCTTCCAAATGAAATTCACCCAAAGTGTCGGTAAATTAAAAGAATTCGTGGTCTATCGGCAAATGTTCATTAAAAATAATATTACTGGAAATACTACAAATGCGACAAAAGATAAAACGAACTTTTGTGAAACGTGTGTCATGTGCACCGAAGGTATTTAAATTATTGACAACCACATTCTCTAGTTTTCTGTAATTCCCTGTCGATTTCATAGTAACACTATCCTTTCAATCGCTAATCATTTTTCTAATTGCAAGAAAGTGTTATCGACCTCATGACTCGGGTCCCCGATGACCCAGCCATCGGCAGACGATAGTCAATCGTTCCTAAAAAATATTCAACAACTCGAAAATAAATTTCAATACTCGACGTTATTTCCCATCCATCTGTCCCACAGTATCGAGCAAGTTTCTTCGTTTCCCAGTGGTATTCGTAGTCGATCATACACCCGGCAGGAATAAATTTCAATTACATCTTTCCGGAGGCAAGAGCCACTCTGCGAAAACAATTTCGAACACCATTACGACATCCCTCGAGCACACCCGGTAACCCCTTTTCTATTAATACAAGCGTTTCTCGAGGCCCCCGTAGTACGCCTCTGCGACTTCGCGAGATTTGGAATATTCTAAGGAAAATGCAAATATCGCCCGAAGTTTGGCCAAGGAGATAGAAGGCGCGTACGCGACGCTTATACGTGTCTTCCCGGCCGTGGCGTAGAGGTATCCGGCTTGTTTGTATTCCGTATTCGGCCTGTCTATAGGGAAATTGCGGTGTTCTCGGCCGTCGAAATCCATGAACACGTCTGTGGTCTCTGATCGTCCTCGTTTGCCCCGCGTGTTGCCGTCTCATTAACCCTTTCGATCTGACCGGAGGACTTATACTTCGCTAACAGGCTCAATCTGTGCTTGGCTGTAGTAAATTGCTCGCTAAATTGAATCGCAGCCGCCTCAAAAAGCTGATTCCGAGCAGTCGTGATTTCGTGCCTTGTAGATCGTACGGGGTGACAATTTTTCTTCTCGGGGTTAAGCT